CACGGCTACCTGGTTGCGCTCTCGGTGACGAGCTTGGGACGTGGCCTTGCATACGTAGGCAGCATTGGCTCGACTTCGATCAGCTTTATTCTTCCAGGTTTGTTTTACTACAAAATTAGCGACCCTGAAAGCGTACACCACCAGAAACTTCTCAAGGAGGACGACGACGCGGCCGAACTTCATGAAGACTCGGATATCGAGGACAGCGCGGCCATGGTGACCAGTATTCAGAGTCTTGGCAGCGCTGCAAGCGTCGCGATCGACCCACGAAAGTGGCGGAAGAAGTGGCGATGGGACCTTGAGCACCTGGAACATGACCTCCTACGCAAGGCGGGCCTAGCGCTGGCGATCTATGGTATATGTGTCATGACCGTCTGTCTCGTTATGAACATTGTGTTCCACACTTCGCACTGAGATCATCAGCCGGCATGGTGCCGGCTTGCCTTTTCTGGCATTAATATACTGTATATATATTCTGGTTTCTGGGTTAGACGACGCGGGAGCAGCGGTTGGCATATGCCGGGCATGACATGGAATGACGGCCACCTTCTTTTCTGAGCATCAAAGGGCGTTTGGTTAACTTGATTCTCTTTACTCTCCACAGCAGGGTACCTTTCCTGATCGTGTTATACGGCGCAAATCAATCCACCTGACGTGCCTCCTCTTTGATCACCGCACCAATATCTTGCCTGTGCGCCCATGAGTCTGTCCTCACCGACCGCATCAGTTTATCATAGCTGCAGTTGCGTTGTGCTTTAACTCAAGCCATTGTAGTTTCAGAACGCAATCCAATAACGATGCTCTTTGTTAGCAGCTTAGATAGTAATGCCCAGAGAGCGTCCCAGCAACGCGACGTCATTTGCACGCCCAGAACATCACGAGCTGCGTTTTCTCACGTCATCCATCAAGTTCAAGGCACAGAAAAATCGACACACCCTCATCGTACATTTTGGTAGAATACAATTTCCTGGCACATCGCGCCAGACTCAAACGCCATCCAATGCTGAGAACATTCCGTCCCAAGGTATATTACACGTCGGTATCCCGCATCCATCCTCACTGTGTCGCAGCCGGACTCTCGAGCGGCTGTGTCAACGCCTTCGCCGCCGAGTTTTTGTTCTTGATGCCGTTGGGTCCGTATTGGGGCTCGATGAGACCAATCTACCGGGTCGCCTCGTCAGCAAACTGCGCGCTACGAGTGGATGACGCCTGAGAAACCTACCATGGACATCAACCTCCATACCGGGTCACTGGGCTGCACACCAACACCGATCCAGTACCTCGCGCGCAATGTGTCGAGCTTGATGTTCTTGTGCATCTTGCGGTCGGGGTCGTAGGGATCCTTTCGTGGGATGGGATCGTACGTGCCGATGACCTCGAGAGGCTTGCTGTTCCGCGCGGTCCTAGACAGAGAGTTAGTCGTCGCATGTTCCCAGCGATCGATTACTGGGCGGCGCAGGGGTTGGCGTACCTGGCGTGTGTGACGACAATGTTGTAGAAGGGCTCGTTCGTGCGCCCAAAGCGGGCGAGGCGCATACGAAGGACCATGCTGACGAGGGTTGAAGTGACTTGGGATGTTGGTTGGTGTACGTGAATGGGTCGTCGTGGACGTCAGACGTCGGTGTCGCGGCGGCGGCCGTGAGGTCGTTCAATGACCAGACTCCTGGATACTAATTTTGGTCGGGGTTAGGTTTCGCCGATACCGACTGTGCTTTTGCTTAGATAAAGTGGGGGTTCAATAGAGACGGGCATGGTTGCTCATCCATACGGTAGAGTGACGGAGGGGCGCAATAGTTGTTGACCAATTAGACTACCACTGGAGGAGAATGCATCTCCACTTGTGATCGTCAGGTCAGTGATGTCAGTTACGTCCAACTGCTCTTGCTTAATCCGCTTGTTCGTCGATGGCCCTGCTCGTTCTGATGTCCGGGCCGTATTACTAGTCTTTCCTTAGTAATTATTACTGCCCTTCAGCTCAAGCCGGCACGAATGAACATCTTAACCTTCTCAAGACAACTACACTTGATCAAAACATCATCAAAATGGCACTCAAGGTTTGTTCTCGGCCTAGAATACTTCGCCGTCATGTACTGAGAACCTTGGTTTGCAGACCCTCGGCGCAAAGGCAGCAGCAGCTCTTGACAAGGACCTTATGAGCGCAGGTGCATTTTCCCTCGATCAGCTTATGGAACTTGCTGGTCTGTCTGTTTCTCAGGCGGGTACGTGCTGTGACCGGGCCCTTAGTCAATGTTCGGCTGTGTGGCTCATCGCTTAGCAGTCTACAAAGTTCATCCACCTAGCAAGGGCCGCAACATTTTGGTGGCATGCGGTCCCGGCAACAATGGTTTGCAACCTCCGTCTCGCGAGAATAGACAGACTTGCTTACCCTGTGGTCCAGGTGGAGACGGATTGGTAGCAGCGCGACATCTCCATCATTATGGATACAAGCCGTCGATCTACTACCCCAAGCGCAGCAAGAATGAACTTTATCAGGTAACGTCCTCCAGCTCTCCTAGCGTCGTCGGGACTATCTCGAGAGCTTCCATCTTGATTTCGCAATATCGTGTTCGTTGCTCTATCTCTCATTGCAGCGTATAGTCATGATTCGTCGCCTGCAAATCTCCCTCGTGTTTCAAGTACAATAAAACATGTGTTGCCTTGGGGTTAGGAAACAGGAAAGACGAGCGCTGCGTTTATATCAAGTCTTCCCAATTGCAGCCGTCTGTAAACTGCACGGCTGTCACTTTTTACTCCCTTCTCGTCCATCGACCATATGCAAGCTCGTGCTGATATATTCGGGACACCCAGAGATTGGCCAAACAACTAGAGGACCTTGAAGTCTCATTTGTCGACGACTTCTCCGAGGCTTTGCAGACAGCCGATCATATCATCGACGCCATATTTGGTCAGTCCGCTCCGAATTCCGTCTGCGATCAAAAGTGGCGTCACGGCAGCTGATTTGGCATTTTGTAGGCTTCAGCTTCTCGGGCGAAGTGCGTGAGCCATTCCCGGCGGTGATTCGTGCGCTCGAGGAAACAATTTTGCCCGTCACAGCTGTTGACGCACCATCATCATGGGACATTGAAGAGGGTCCACCCAAGACCGGACTGGGAAGCTCCTTCAATCCTACAGTGCTTGTCA